GAGGAATACGGACCTGCAGTTTCCCGTCCAGATCTGTGCCAACCCAGCTGCCCGCAGTGAGGTTGAGATCGATGCACTACAAACAACCTCTGGCGCCCTCCTGGTCGCTGCCGCAGCTCGAGGCTCGGAACCGAGGCGGCGACTGCCATCTCTAGCTCACTCGCCTCAGATATTGGAGTTAAGCCTCACAGATCCGCCATTAATGGACCCTAAGGGCTCCAGTAATAAACAGTTCGGAATTCCCCTGCGGACCCAACTCGAAGGGTGTATCACACGTCGCCGGTACTAAGGAAGATCTGCCGGCGTTGTCGGAGATATAGTGAGCCTACTCCCGGCCAATTCGTGCTGCCGTCGGATCCACCTAAGGAAGAAATCAATCTCCGCCTGAGGAAACTTCGTCGCCGGTATAGTCTGGTTGAGCTCCGCTGTCGCCAATCCCTTCCTGGATGGTGACCGTCGCCTTTATAGAACGATTAGCCCATCATGGCCTCGTCATCATTTATTGGAACGGCTCATCATCGCCATCATCCTCACACCACGGCAGACCCCTCAGTCTCAACGCGATCTTGAGCTAGCGATTGGGCTCACCATCCCTTCCTGGATGGTGACCATCGCCTCTATATGACGACTGGCTCATCATCGCCCCGTCATCATATTATCGGATCGGCTTCTCAGCATTGCCGTCCGGACATCACGACCGGCCCCTCGGCCTCGGCGTGATTATCTATCTCAAGACCGGCTTCCTCAGCGCCGAGAGTCTTGAGCTAGCGATTGGGCTCACCATCCCTTCCTGGATGGTGACCATCGCCTCTATATGACGGTTGGCTCATCATCGCCCTGTCATCATATTATCAGATCAGCTTCTCAGCATTGCCATCCGTACATCACGACCGGCCCCTCGGCCTCGGCATGATTATCTATCTCAAAACCGGCTTCCTCAGCGCTGAGAGTCTTGAGCTAGCGATCGGGCTCACCATCCCTTCCAGGATGGTGACCGTCGCCTTTATATGACGATTGTCCCATCATGGCCTCGTCTTCATTTATTGGAACGGCTCATCATCGCCGTCATCCTCACATCGCGGCAGACCCCTCGGTCTCAACGCGATCTTGAGCTAGCGATTGGGCTCACCATCCCTTCCTGGATGGTGACCATCACCTCTATATGACGGCTGGCTCATCATCGCCCCGTCATCATATTATCGGATCGGCTTCTCAGCATTGCCATCCGGACATCACGACCGGCCCCTCGGCCTCAGCGTGATTATCTATCTCAAGACCGGCTTCCTCAGCGCCGAGAGTCTTGAGCTAGCGATCGGGCTCACCATCCCTTCCAGGATGGTGACCGTCGCCTTTATATGATGATTGGCCCATCATGGCCTCGTCATCGTTTATTGGAACGGCTCATCATCACCGTCATCCTCACATCGCGGCAGACCCCTCGGTCTCAATGCGATCTTGAGCTAGCGATTGGGCTCACCATCCCTTCCTGGATGGTGACCATCGCCTCTATATGACTGCTGGTTCATCATCACCCCGTCGTCATATTATCGGATCGGCTTCTCAGCATTGCCATCCGGACATCATGACCGGCCCCTCGGCCTCGGCGTGATTATCTATCTCAAGACCGGCTTCCTCAACACCGAGAGTCTTGAGTTAGCGATCGGGCTCACCATCCCTTCCAGGATGGTGACCGTCGCCTTTATATGACGATTGGCCCATCATGGCCTCGTCATCATTTATTGGAATGGCTCATTATCGCCGTCATCCTCACATCGCGGCAGACCCCTTGGTCTCAACGCGATCTTGAGCTAGCAATTGGGCTCACCATCCCTTCCTGGATGGTGACTATCGCCTCTATATGACGGTTGGCTCATCATCGCCCCGTCATCATATTATCGGATTGGCTTCTCAGCATCGCCATCCGGACATCACGACCGGCCCCTCGGCCTCGGCGTGATTATCTATCTCAAGACCGGCTTCCTCAGCGCCGAGAGTCTTGAGCCAGCGATCGGGCTCGCCATCCCTTCCTGGATTGTGACCATCGACTCTATATGACGACCGGATCATCATTGCCCCGTCATCATATTTCGGATTGACTCTTTTCATCGCCATCCGTGCATCACGACCAGCCCCTCGGCCTCGGCGTGACTATCTATCTCAAGACCGGCTTCCTCAGCTCCCAGAGTCTTGAGCTAGCGATCGGGCTTGCCATCCCTTCCTGGATGGTGACCATCGCCCTTATATGATGATCAGCTTCATTCTTGCCTCGTCATCATATTATCGGATTGGCTCATCATCTCCGCCCGCACATCACGATCGGCCCCTCGGCCTCGGCGTGATTATCTATCCCCAAGACCGGTCTCAGTCATTCCTTCATCGGATGACGACCGTTGCTTGGACTTTTGGATCAGCCTCATAGTGCTGACGACCTCACATCACGATCGGCCCTTCGGCCACGACGTCACACCATATCCCAACACCGGCTTCATGAGCGCCGAGTGTGTTGGGCTAGCGATCAGGCTCGCCATCCCCTCCTGGATGGTGACTATCGCCTCTATATGACGATCGGCTCCATCATCGCCTCGCCATCATATTTCGGACTGGCTCCTCATCATTGTCATCCGCACATCGCGATCAGCCTCTCGGCCGCGACGTGATTATTTATCTCAAGACCGGCTCCCAATGCCGATGTCTTGTTATAGCGATTGGGCTCGCCATGTCTTCCCGGACGGCGACCATCGCTCCTATATGACGCACGGCTTATCATCGCCTCGTCCTCACATTTAGACCGGCCCCAGCGCTGAAGTCCTTATCTAGCGACCAGGCTCGCCAATCCCTTCCTAGATGGTGACCGTCGCCTTCATATGACACGCGGCTTATCATTGCCTCATCCTCATATTCGGACCGGTTCGTCAGGGTTGTCGTCCTCATATTCGGACCGACTCATCAGCGTCGTCGTCCTCATATTCAGACAGGCGTCCACCGCCTCGTCCCCCTATTCAGATATAGCGAACGTCTTGCGGTCTCCGGCTAAAAAGCTAAAGGAGCCCAGAGTTTAGCCATAGGCCATCGGCCATATATTGCTCTGTCATCTTTATTTGATGACGAAGAGCTCATCTACAGGCCCATCGGCCATATATCGCTCTGTCATCTTTATTTGATGACGAAGAGCTCATCTACAGGCCAACCGGCCATATATTGCTCGGTCATCTTTATTTGATGACGAAGAGCTCATCTACAGGCCAATCGGCCATATATTGCTCGGTCATCTTTATTTGATGACGAAGAGCTCATCTACAGGCCCATCGGCCATATATCGCTCTGCCATCTTTATTTGATGATGAAGAGCTCATCTACAGGCCCATCGGCCGTATATCGCTCCGTCATCTTTATTTGTTGACGTGAAGCTCATCTACAGGCCCATCGGCCATATATCGCTTTGTCATCTTTATTTGATGGCGTGAAGCTTATTTACGGGCCCATCAGCCATTTTATCGCCCCGTCATCTTTATTTGATGACATGGCGCTCTCATATAGGCCTCTCGGCCATGCATCGCCCCGTCGTCTTTATTTGACGACGTGGAGCTCTTATGCAGGCCCCTCGGCCATACAGCGTCCCGTCGTCCTTATTCGACGACGTGGAACTCTCATACAGGCCTCTCGGTCGTTAGCCTCCCAGTCATCTTTATTTGACAATGTGGAGCTCTTATGCAGGCCCCTCGGCCATACAGTGCCCCGTCGTCCTTATTCGACGACGTGGAACTCTCATACAGGCCTCTCGGTCGTTAGCCTCCCAGTCGTCTTTATTTGATGACGTGGAGCTCTCCTACAGGCCTCTCGGCCGCACATCGCCCCACCATCTTTATGTGATGGCGTGGAGTTCTTATATAGGCCCATCGGCCATATATCGACTCGTCATCTTTATTTGATGACGTGGATCTCATACAGGCCCCTCGGTCATACATCGCCCTGTCATCTTTATTTGATGACGTGGAGCTCTCATACAGGCCTCTCGGCCATACATCACCCCGTCATCTTTATTTTATGACGTGGAACTCTCATCCGGGCACCTCGGTCATGCATCGCCCCGTCATCTTTATTTGATGACGTGGAGCTCATCATACTGGCCACTTGGCCGTCTCTCCCGGTCATCTTTTATTGATGGCTTGGACTTCTTATAGGCCTCTCGGCCACATGTCTCGGTCACTTTATTTGATGACACGGACATCACATTATGGACGGTCACTCGATCTATCTCTTAGTCATCTTTATTTGATGACTAGGACTACTTATCATGCCGAGCTACTCACATCTAGAGACTGATCTCGGCCATCCCCTTAGCAGACAGACACCGTTGCAGCTCCACACCTAGGTCGAAGGGCTCACCCCTTTTGCTTCATTTTGGGGGCATCCGGTGTACTCTTTTTCCCTCATTAGGATTTTTTCCCACTGGGTTTTTTCCTAATGAGGTTTTTAACGAGGCATCTCCCCATTGTGGATCAAAAGACATCGACCCTCGGCCCCCTATTGAAGACATAACGAGACATGCACCACTCTACTCCTCTTCACCTCATTACATTCACCTCAAGGAGTGGGGGACTGGAAGAGCGGGGGACTTAGCGCCTCCGTTAGCCAAAGAAGCAGAAATTCAAATTTTTTCACGAAGTTTACTCATCAGACGATAGATCAGCACACAATTCTACTCCCTTTCGCCTCGAGTACTCTCGACTCAGGGAGTGGGGGACTCCTGATGGAGTATATAGACTCGGACCCCCAGGTCTCACGACTATTGAGCCCGGACAGCGGCCCACGTACACTCAGCTGATAGCATTTGCATTATTGTACATTATTATTATTCAGGTGTTCTAGATTAGCCTTTTATATTATCAGTTCATTTATGTAACCGGGTCTGTCAGGCCCATATTAGAGGTCCAGACCCGGATATTCTTCTATATATACTCCCTTAGGGAGTTCTTGTAAACCTAATTCACAACTCATTCATACATTACTATTCTTTCATCTTCTTCCTCACATTAGCTCAAATCTCTCCGTTTTATTATAGTTTGGATACCCCTATAATCCATCAAGATGATTATACTACTATACATGAGAATGTTCTAAATCATGTTAGAGACGACGGATTTTCCGAAATTAAATTAATTTACGGAAAATTGCCAAAATATAATAATTCTGTATATGTTGCTTCTAGACTATGGCCCATTCACGATGAGCACACATGGCGTCATTTTTTCTGGATCGCTAAAAATGAGTATGAGGAGTTGCACATTTACGTGGAAGCTTCAGCGACCCCGCCACAAACTTTGACGTTCCACGGAACTCCCAGAGAGGAAGACCCATCATCCGTATATGGTAAGAGGAACAACCGCCAAACGTTTCAGAACTACGAATCTCCTGGTATGTGTTGTTCAAGTTAAATAGAATTTACAATGATTGGTTTTATTTGTTGTCATTTTAAGAGTGTAGAAGTAGTTAATTTAGTAATTTGTAAATTTTTAATTTAGATTGTTAAATTGGAATTTCAGAGTAAAATTTGGCTATAATTGATAGTTGGCTATCTTAAATATTATAACATAATGAGTATATATCACTGATATTAGTAATATATGTATTACTTAGTGTATTATATACTTAGGCTATAATAAAAATATATATTATCTCTAGTATAATATATTGCGGCTAATTTGATAATAATAGAACCATAATCAACATGGTGTAATCTAAAAAATATTTGTAAATGCATTGTAATTACTGAATCGTTGTGATATATTAAATAATACTAATATTATGCATTATTAGGCTAATTGATTACTCTATAATTTAATATCTTTATAATAATATTACACGTATCTAATTAATTATATGTGATTTATATATTAATTATATATTTACGATATTGATTTAGACGGAGAGAGTATCACGTCGTTAAAAAAGCTATATATAGATCTCTAACTTATAATTTGCCTTAATTAATTTTTATAGGAGTGTAGAAGTAGTAGATTTATTAATTTGTAAATTTTTTAATTTAGATTGTTCAATTTGAATTTTAGATTTAAATTTGGCTATAAAGTACTTGAAAGTTAGAAAGTGTGTTACATTTAGAATTTGCCTTAACTTTTGGTTTTAGGAGTATAGAAGTAGTTAATTTAGTGGACTTTTAATCATATCTGTCCGTCCATATCTGTTAAATTTAGAATATCTTAACTATCATAAGATATAATTTAATCATTCAATATTCTGTCCAACCATATATGTACAAAAATAAAGTGACACAAATTCAATTAGACAAAAATAAAGTGACACAAAAATAAAGTGACACAAATTCAATCTGACACAAAAAAGTGAGATAGAATTCAATTTTTTATCTGTCCGTCCCATCTACACAAATTCAATACTTCTACCTAATTACAGTAAAGAAACACATTCTATCAACGGTTCAAATAAATGAAATAACCGCACGCATCACAATCTAACGGAAGTGGAATTTTAAAAAAAATTAAAATTTTAAATCTCCTGTCGGAACACCCAAATCCGACCAGAGCACAAAAAGTTTTTATACTTCAAATAAACTTAAAAATTATATATATTCGGATAAATTAAAACCAAAAAATTCAAATCATAATTTTATTTTATTTTAGATAGTGTGTTACAAGGAATTGTGTTCAATTCTAGAAATTCAAGAATTGTGTTAAATTAATAATTTGTCCCAGATAATAATATTGAAATTTATGAATGTATCTACTTTGTACAGTCACAAACTTGGGTGAAGAGTCGGACGACCCAGATTATGAACAAGGTTTTAGTAGTGATGTCGAATCATCCACGAGCGATGATAATGACGAGGTAGTAGACACCACCTGGGCCAATGTGGAGCTAGAAGAACCATATGTTCAAGCGGTAGATTCTGAGCCTGAAAGGATCGAAGTAGGCGCACTTTACTGTTCATATGATGCACTGAAAGAAGTAGTGGCGATAGAAAACATTCGTCAATTTCGTCAATCGCCTCCTCAATTCTCAACACATCAGGGTGTCTCATTTGATCAACCACCCCCTCAATTCTCAACACATCAAGGTGTCTCATTTGATCAACCACCGCCGTATTATGATTCTTATCAGTACTCAACACAAGCAGGTGATTATGTTGATTCATTTCTGGATTCGTCATTTTACTATGAAGACACAACGGGGCCTTGGAACACTCGCGGTGAGGACGGAGCAGGGCCGAGCATGCAACGTTAGATGTAGTATTAAATTTAATATTGTATGTACTGTCTATTCATTAATAAATTACATTGAAAACTACATTTGTTTTGTTCACTTCCATTAAAGTTACAAAAATTGCACTTAAAACAAAATCAAATTTGTATCTTATTTGACGAATGAATTAAATCAAAATTGTACTTAAAATTACAAAAATTGCAATTAAAACAAAATTCACAATACAAATGGATTAAAAAACAATATAAAGCAATCAAAAAATCAAAATGCTAAGTTTTCATTCTAAAAAATATGCCAGAAATCTAAAAAAACTTTTAAATTTGGAATGGATAGAATTTAGCCCTAGAATTTAAAACTTTTAGTTTTTAAAACTCAAAAAAAAATTAAAAAAAAAAATTGCGGAAAGGTCCCTAATTGGAAGTCCCTAATCCGACAAAAAAAAACTAAATCCGACAATTTAGTTTTTAGCCCTAAATTAAGAATTGCGCAAAAAAAAAAACCTCCTAGTCGGAAGTCCCTAATCCGACAGGAGGGGAGAGATTGTTTTTTCGGAAACCCTATCTCTAGTCAGAATTGGGTGTTCTGACTCCCGTATTTTGGTAAACCCTAGAAAAATCCCCGTATTTTGGCAACCCCAACCCCTTTTCCCGTATTTTTCGGTAAAACACCCCTTACAATCACAATTTCATTTAGTTCTATTTGTTATATAAACATCTAAATTTAATTATCATCCTTGAATAGTTTAGAAGGACTTCACTTTTCCCACGGCAGCTAGCTCCCCAACGTTGTGTCAAATTACTCAAATTTGTTAATACCAAATGTATTGTTCATGGAACGATTTGTAATGTTCTCTCCCGAAAAAGAGGTTTTCCTTTTCCTTTTCTGTTCAACATAAAAACCATGTTTCTTTTAATTAATGAACGATAGGGCATTACAGCCATATGCGTGGCGCCTTCTTGATAAGTTGGCATTATGTCAATCTTCATAGTGGCTGCAGAAGCACCATAATAGCAATTAGCAATATTCCCACCTTCCAATATAAAATACGCGGTGAAAGGATATATGATTTCCCTGTTGCATGTATGTACTTGCATAAAATGATAAAAGTAAAGACATTTTTGTGCATATATCATAAGTATATGCTATCATGAATGAGAGAAAGTAAGATAAACGTGGGCTCAATTTTTTTTCAATCTCATGGAGGATTAGAGGAGAATTTATGGGGATTAAGATGGATTTGACACGGATTGATCGATAATATGGTGATCATTTTTGGGACGGAAGTAGTATGATATATGTAAGGCTACTTTTTTATAAATGATAATGTATGGTATGTATGTTATTTAACATAGTGTAGATCTTTCGAATAGGATAAAATTAAATTAAAATCATGTATGGTGACTCTACTTTTTTACTTATAAGTCTTATCATCCGACTCTTCCATAAAAGTTTGAGTTACTTTTCTGACAGGATTGACTGAAGTTGCTCTCGAGAAACATTTTAACTATTTTTCATATAATTTTTCTTTATTTTATTAATAAAATATATTTTAAATACTCCCTCCGCTCCAAAAACAACTTCCCACTTTCGTTAAATGGATGTCCCAAAATTAACTTTGCATTTCTTCCCACTTCCTTATTTGGCAAATTATCTACATCAAAACAGTGACAAACGGTGCCAAACAATGTTCAAACAGTGTCGAAACAGTAAAATTTACCCCCGATAAATTTTTTCCTTAATATGTGTGGAAAACGAAGTGTGAAGTTGTGTTTGGGACGGAGGGAGTATAAATTTTTCATAAATCAACAGAATCAGTCAATCGAGCCACTTCAGCCAGAACTTCGTAAATATCAGCAGATCATTCGTTCAAACTTTCTTACTCCGTACAACTTACCAGTTGAGCTAACCATGGTCTGATCTTAGCATATGATTTTGTGTTTCTATTGTTAGGAAATTGATGTAACGTACCTCGAAAGTACGGCAGCGGAAGTTTAAAATTTTTCCAAACAGATCTTCCTGATTATGACAAAATAACGAACATGATAATAATAACAGATCTGAGTTAGAACTTACAGATCTTCAAGCTTAGCGGTGATAATCCTTGACCTTTGGTATCCACGTGATTTCTCCTTTCCGAAAGAACGATTAGATCTCCCTAAGAGAAAGACTAGGAAATCTCTTCGCAGGGAAATAAACTGGTAATACTGAATCTTAAAACTGGTCTATTAATTATGAAGGAGGAGGGTGTATTTATACTAGTTCTAAACTAGTTTCCCAATCACAATGAAAGTGTTCTTCATTAATGAGTTCTAATCCTAACATGACTAACATCATTTATTAATTAAAAAAAGATATAAATAATAATAACAAAACTAGTCATACGTATTAAAGAAGAATGGGGGTTGCCGCCACCCTCATCTTCTTAAAAGACTTATTATTATCATTTTATATTTTCTTGAACACACTAATTCTAAATTGTGCACAAGAAAATATCAACTTTAATTAATTATAAATACATCTTAATTAAGTATAATAAATCTAATTTATTCCACTTAATTAATTCTATCAAATAGAACTCTCCTTCAACTTCATGAAATAAATATGTTTAATCTAATTAATATTTAATCCATTTTCAGTATTACTAATTAAATATTATTTAATCCAATTAATAATATTTAATTTCTTCTAACAATTCAATCGGAAGGTATAATCACTTGTTGTGTGACCCATAAGGCCTTATATATTAAGCACTAATCAAATTTAGGTCTTAGTAGAATCCATAGACGATTTACCAGACAAACTTAATATATAAGGACGTTTGCGAGGACTATTCAAACTCCCTGTAATATAGAGCTCATAGTGATACGGTCCTTTCATTCAGCGAACATTCAACTAAGTCTAGAACATGATATAGTGTCTATCCCAATAACTCAGTCTCTGTCTCTCAATCTTTCTAGATGATCCATAATGATCATATTCGATATCCAAAACGAATATATCTTTGCATTGGCCAATGACTTTATGATCCATCTAGATATGAGAAGTAGAATGTTCTCTCTTAATCTATTATGAGGAATGAATCCTTTCTTGGCTCAACTACTACTCCATGTGCTTCGTGATACACCCAACACATGCCGTATCTACCCCGATTGGAGTGCAAGCGTTGGTCATGGTCAAAGTACATTACTCCGCACATGTAGTACGTATTGACCTCAAGTCGGAGGACTATTACACTACTCTATACACTGATAATCCCATAGACACATGAATAGAACTTATCAAAAGGTTTCTCGGTGGGTATGCCAATATTCTCTAAAATATCTATGTGACCATCATGAATTACAGGAACTCATAGTCGTGAGATCAACTATACTTTCTAAAAGTATGATGCAGTCCACATACCAATCTTATCGCATATCATCAATATCTCATTCTTGATGATCATTGATTGGGGCTATTTTAGGACCTTATGTTATATCATATAAGCTCCCACTTACTTATTGACAACATAAGTCCAAGGGAACACAATTATGAATAAGATATTGACAATTGAAATACTTAATCGTCAATGTGTAATACCGTATATATCAAATATAGAAAACTGAATGTGATCAAGTACATATATCTCTAAAAAGTGATTGTCGCTAGGACATATATACTAACATCTATGAGGTGTGAATTTCACTTGTTCCAATTAAGTTTAAATAGATTTTTTATGATGACATTTTTATGGTTCATGTATGTTTGTTATGAACATTGCACGATTTGCAGCACATATTATTATAGTCTTTTCCCGTGAATATTACTAAATTAAATTCAAAAGACAAAAATATATTCCGTATATCACTTATTTTAAAAATTTCTAAAAAAGTGACATATATTTAGTGTATAGTTCGTAATGACTTATCATCTATCAATGACGTGTCACTTTGAAATACAATATAGCGACTCTTGCCTAGTTACTAGTCATATTTTTGTCCAAAAAACACAGCTAGTCATATTTTTTTCTCGGAAAACTCTGTTACTAAATATACATGTCACTTTTCTTGATATTATTCATTTATGATGTTTTATTTTCCTCACACAACTTAATTATACACATCTCACATTAAAGTTTAATATCTACAATTAATCATACATTATACGGCGTATAATAATTCAAAAATACGTAGTATCTAATTTGAGATTAATTTTTTTATTTGAATGTTTTTATTTAAATATTACTGAAATAAAATTTATAGAAAAATATTTGATAAGAATTAGAGAGAATTCCTTAAATAGGAGTAAAAAAAATTTTGAAATTCCAAAATAGGAGTATCATGTTTTTTATTCCTTGAATATGAGTAAATTTCTGCCAAGTTTGACATTACTAGGCTTTAAAACATGACATTTTTTTCCAAACTTGGCAGATTACTCCTATTCACGAAATAAAAAACATGAAACTCCTGTTTTGAAATTTCAAAACGTTTTTGCTTCTATTTAGAGCAATTTCTATAAGAATTATTGTGGACATACTGTCAAGGTCATGATAGCGAAAAAAAATAATATGTTTATTGCCATTGAAACTACTGTTAGTAATACCCTGGATATTTGCTCCAAATTATTTATTTTATTAACGTGAAGCAAACTTGACTAACCTTTTTTAGTTTTAATTAAGTAACCAATTTCTTTCAGTAATAATTCGAATTAATTTGTGTAATTAATTTGTTTTTTCTTTCAAAAAAATGTAATTATTAAACATGCCAATTCTAATCACTAGTTTAGATATACGGAGTAGTATTTTTTACTAATAGTTACACCACTGCCTCGTCTACTCGCTATCATCGTACCACCGAAAGACTCCAACCCAGAAGGGTCACTGCTCGAGTGAATAAACACATGCCAAATGTAAATTAAATTGCCATACTCTTTAAGTGGGTTCAATTGATGGGAGCCTCTACTTTTTCCTAAAGATTCTTATCATATACTCCGTCTCTCTCATGAAATATTTCCCGCATTGATTTGAATCGGAG